GTGCCTGTGGCTTGAAACACTTTTTTCAGACATGATTAGTTTGCTTGGAATATGCACCCATGCCTTTGTTTCAAGCACTTTCAGCAGGCCATGAAATTCTTTGTTAGATCCTGAAAGATGTGGGATATTCCAGGAAGAGAAGGAATAAGGGAAATTCTTCCAAGTTACTCAGCACGCATCCCTTTGCTCCAAACTCTAAGAGGGGACAATTGAAAACTGGCTGCAGGAAGAAATGCTTTGTTCCAGATATCTGAATTACATCTTGCGTCACACATATCTGCCAGACTGAACCATTTTTGCTGGGGAGGGACAATGCTAGAAGTGTTGAAAAAAGTGATAAGCTTCATAGGAGAATTGCACATGATTTGGTAGGAACCGATTCAATCTATGTGAGACTGTACCACTCTCATAGTAAATAATGTCCCATGTGTTTGGCTCTGTGCCCCCGTAATCCCTGCTAAATCTATATGTTGTTATTAATTTAGAGGTATGTATTGTATTCTACGGGACTGCAGGTGGCGCTGCTGGGCTGGTTGATCGAAAGGTCGTCGGTTCGAATCTGCACAATGGGGTGAGTTCCCTTGCTCCATCCCAGCTCCTGCCAACCTTGCAGTTCGAAAGCATGCAAATGCAAGTAGATTAAAAGGTACCACTTCGGTGGGCAGGTAACAGCATTCCGTGCACTTCCGTGTTTAGTCATGCCAGCCACATGACCACGGAGACTGTCTGTAGACAAACGCTGGCTCCCTCAGCTAGGAAATGGAGATGAGCACTGCCCCCTAGAGTCAGGCATGACTGGACGTAACGTCAAGGGGAAACCTTTACCTTTACCTTTTATTGTATTCTACTGAATCCCAATTCCAATATCAAATTGAACAGATTCGGAAACACCTAGGAGATACCTGAACTGAAACAGGGTTCATCCATAGTGGCCTTAACACATCTGAACTTTTCAAGCTTTGTTAGCCATTTGGAAGGATACACACATAAGCAGCATCTGTAAAAATGGATACACTTCACCATTAAAGACACCTCTAAAGCAATATATAGCTGATAAAATACTTTGATAGAGAGATAATTTTAGATAGTAACCCACGAACAAGATTTTGTGTGCTTTCTTCACAAGTGCTGCATATGAGAAAGCATGGGACAAAGGATTATAGCTGCAGGCAATAAGTTTCATCTTACATAGGGCTAAGGTAGAATCAGAACATGTGTGAGCATGTCTGCTTCACTCCCAAGCATCGCCACAAATCCCAGCTATCTTTTGTGTATGGAACACAATGGCTTGCACAGGGGCTTGCAAGCATGTTTGGCCAAGCATACTTGCAGAGCATCTGTGATCGGGAATGCTGATAAGGCAAGGTTTGTGATGATAGGAATGATGCGGACACTTCCAACCAAACTTACTTACAAAGCCCTATGTAAACTTTTGTCTCAATATTCAGGGACACTGAGGCAGGGCATGCGGACTTGCACATGTCCCACCCCCAGTTTTAGTGCATCCATTTCAATTGAAAGATATGTTCATTTATCAAAAGTGAGATGCAGGCTCCATTTAAATACATCTGAGGTCTCCCTCCCTCCCTCCCTTTTTTGCTTTCCTGAAAGCAGTTACAAGGGCCTCCAGTCTGGATTACAAGTGTGGTGTGGGTGATTTAATCCTTTATCCTCCCCGTTTTCATGTTCAGCATTACCCTTTCCCTATTGCAAATGCTGGCAAATGGCAGCTAGAAAGAAGGAATCTTACTGGGAAAATAGTGTCATCGTTTACTTACAAATGGTTTGTTCCTATTTGTGGTGCATCATTGATTTAGTTCCCAAATCACTGCTTTCAGAAATGAGATACCATACAGCAAAGGCAATCATGATGGGTAGAGATGGCAGAGAATGAAATGCAGGAGTGGGGTTGGGAATAGAACTTAAAGTTTGAACAAAGTGTTCCATCACCACCACAGACACAGGCTAATATAAATCTCCCAGGAATTAACTTTCCCTCCCTTTTCCTTCCTGATTGTGCTAATTATGCTGCAGCTGCGAAAGGGGCTGTTATTATTAATGAAAATGTTCAGATATTTAGCCATTCATAGCTAGGATTTCCTATCAGACAACATGACATTTCAGAATTGTGTAACAAAAAGGTGACTGAATCTATGGGGGGAAGAAAGAGATTTTATTACTGTCTTATTTAAACCTGCAGATAATCATGGAGCAGTGGCTGCTGAAGTTCAGTTCAATAGCAGCAGTGGTGTAGCTCATTAATTCCTCCAGTGCATGGTGTGGAGAAAGTGTATACTTTCATTATTGTCGAACTTCCAGGTCATCCACTGAAACTGTATGATGAGAGATTCCAGTCAGATGAAAGGATATACATCTTCATACACCAAGTTAAACTCTGGAATTTGCTTTCATGGGATGTAGTACTTGGCCATTCATTTGGATACCTTTAAAAAGGATTAGATGAATTGCTATGTTGTAAACCGTCCCGAGATGCCGAGGCATGTGGTGATGGCATATAAAAGTCTTAAATAAATAAATAAATGAATAAATAAATAAATAAAATTTCTGGATCATAAGGCTATTAATAATCACTAGTCAAGATAGATATGAATTACATAGTTTATAGATATAGGCAGAGAGAGAGAGAGAGAGAGAGAGAGAGAACCTCCAATATCAGAAGCAAAGTGCCTCGGAATGCTAGTTCCTGAGAAAATGTTTTTGCATTCAAATCCTGCTAGTGGACTTTCCAGATTGTTGGCCACAGTGGGAACAGAAGGTTGGACTAGATAAGCCTTTGATTTGATCTGACATAATTCATCTTATATTCTAGTAGGAAATCCATTGAAGACATAGCCCCTTGTTTTTTCTCCTTCCCCTTTGTTTAAGTATGGTAGCTTAACATCTTCTGTTGATGAGTGTCTCACATAGAATGTCAGAGTCCAAAAAAACATACTGAATCTGCCCTGTGGCTGGCACTTTTAAACACTATCAAAGGCATGGTTGACGGGGCATGAGTTTTGTTTCATGAAAAATTTCATGAAAAATTACAAAGGACTTGGGAGGGTAGAAGCCAATTTGCGTATTATCCTGAAACAGGCATAAAATGTGTGGGTGCCTCATGTATTCTCTTCCTATAGGTTTTTTTTTTTTTTAATGTACAGAGGGAGTCACAGATCTTTGTAGGCGCTGTTGATACTGGTTTTATAAGATACTGCCATTAAAATTAAATGAGAATTCAAGGGATTTATTTGTGCCTGCATTCCAAGTTGTCCTTACTGCAGTGCTCCTGCAGCCTGCAAAAGAACATGAAATGTCTTTTGGAAAGGAAAGGAAAGGAAAGGAAAGGAACAGTTAAATATGCGCTCCCCAAACACCCTGTTCCTCATGGAATGTCATTATCATCAGCCAGGCAGGATGTGTTCCTCCAGAGGTTTATGGCCAAATATTAACATCTACTTCTCAGCATGTGTTATTATTTACTATATTTATGGTGTTACTTTATGCAGAGAATTCCAAGTACAGTTGAGGGACATTCATACAAAAGTTATTACCTTTTCAAATGACGTCCTTTCTATTCAAATGTTTGTTGAAGTCTTGGAGTCACCTTGGCCTTTATGATACAGCCAGTATTTTGTTGTAAGTTGACCATAAATCTGGGTTAAGTGATGAGTGGTGCTCAGTTCACAGCCATTTTGCATCAATGAGCTGTCACAAAGGATCACATAATGACAGCATTACACTTTGAAAGCATCTGCGTTTATTATTGCTGTTTTTTCCAAGCATGGAAAAATGTTAGGTGCCAACTCAAGCTGAGCAACCCAGCTGGTAGAGAGCAGGCAGTTTCATAGCTTCGCTGACTTCAATAGAGCTTTGCTCTTGAATGCCCACGTCAAATAAAAGTCCACAGTGACTGTGTGTTACTCTAGTTCCATACAGTCTGCCTTCTCCCCAGCTGTTCAGTCAGCTGACCTTAGGTGGCTTCTTCCCCCTCAGCTTTCACTTGTATTGTGGTACTTGTATCCCTGCTTTTGTTGCAAGATAACAACCTTCTGCGATCACAATAGCCAGTACACTTAACATACTTTATGTCTGGTGGAAAAATGCATATTACTTATTATGAAATCATGACTCTCAATGTTTATTTTCCTTATTGAGGGAGATAAAGTGAGCAAACAACAAGAATAAAATGTCAGCTTAAAAAATACCTTACTGTAGTGCGGAAATGATCAGCCTGTCTTTGAACTTGGAAAACTCAGTTGGCATTTAAAATGTTATTTTTTTCAAAATGGATGTATATGTGCTATCAATAAGACATGAACATTTGGAAAACTTACCTCCAACTGGAAAAGAACACAGTTAAATCTAGGGAACATGTCCAAGATCCTTTCTATTTAGGATCAGTTAAGGTGCAATCCTATGCACAATAGGAGTAAGCTCCCCTGAACACAAGATGACTTATATCTAAATAAGCATGTTCAGGACTGCATTGTTAATTAAGTGTTAATTCCACACCAGACTTTGCACTTGCAAGGACAGTTTTGAAATATAAGCATAAATGTGAAGAATACGGAAAAGCTTTCTTTTTATCTTTCTTTGATAGTTTTGTCCATGCAAAAAGACACTTAGATGTGTTAATTAATCTTGAGTAATACCTGAATGTTTTCAACCTGTTGCAAAGAGCCTTCAGGCTATTGAGCAGTAAAAAAATGTAATAAATAAGTGAAATCCATAGCACAGGCATTGGTGAGATGTGATAGGGTGGATTAATTAATATGGAGACAACCAATTAACCTTGGAAAGAGCTACATCACTTTATCTTCACATATCTAACATTGGAAATGCGATGTTATAAAAGGCTTGTACACTTGGTATTTTGGGGAAAACAGCATTTAAGGACGGCTTGGAAAACTGCTTAATTTAGCCTAATCCAAAACATTATTTAGCAAAAATTGGGAGAGAAACCCCCTCTTCATTGTTTGTCATTGTTCTTTTGGTTGCAGTCATTATGAAAGGAGGAGAAATAAGCACATATGTAGGATTCATTAAGTCTGGATGCTGTAATGCTTACCAAACAATTCCAGCCCTTGTGAAACGACCTCTGGGGAAAATGGTGAGCAATTGCATCGTCTTCGATGATATGAGATCTGGAAATCCTTTATTTGTTTCCATTCTTATCTGTATTTTAGCTTCAAAATATTAAATAAAAATAAATAACATATTGCCAAATATATTTGCAGTGAAATATTCCGTTGCAGCCCTGAGTCATGCAGACCTCCCTCTCTCTTCCTCCCATTTTCTCCTACTCTGGCTATGTTGCATGATCCCCATAGCTTAAGCAACTCACCTTAAGCTTAAACAAGTGGTTTGTTCAATGCTGTGACATAGGCTGGAAGGGTATCAGGTCCCATTGGCCTATTTACCTGCCAGGGTGTGACTAGGTGTGCCAACACGAGTGCCATGGCTTGTAGGAAAGGGAAACAACCCTCAAATAACCCATAGCCCAATGTTGGTTCTTCTGAACCAGAAGAACAATCAGGCAAACAATGCCTGGCAAATAATGTTACTCAAACTGTGATGATCATGTAAACTGGATCTCTCTCACTCGCACACCTACACATGGAGATGGACACATGGACAACCTTACAAAAATATAATTTTTAGAATGTAATCAAAAACATGTAAGAAAAATAATTAAAGTTATAAAACACACGATTAAAATATTCATGATCAAAGTATTAATAAATAACTACCTAATGCTCTATGCTGTTTCCTATTTTTAGGATGGGAAAATTGTGCCAAAGGTTACCTGCTGAATCCATGATGGTTTTCATCCATTTACTGATACATGGGAAAGATACACCAGAATGTACTACATGTGTGGGGCCTGTTTGTTCCTCCTATGGGTATAATGCACTGAAGCAGGCGCTGTTCAGGCAGGCATGGTGATGAGACAGTCCAGGTGATGAGCTTGAGCAATGGCAGTCTTGGGTCTCCCAGAGACCCACTCAGGACACTCTGGACTGTATGCTCTTCACCGAGCAAAGAAAGACGAGCAGGATGTGGCAGGCGGCAAACTCTTGTGCCTGCACACTTTTCTGTTTGTTCACAATGACTCACTGCACTGCCTGTAAACACTGCAAGCCAAGAGGGTTGCTTGGAAAATGGGGCTCTTTTATGTACTATGAGAAGACATCCATTTACTACATCTTTGCAGTAAATGAAGAATTAAGCACTTGGTGAATATGTGAGCAAAACCAGACAGAAATTCAGGCTTCTTATTTTGGTTATCTCTTGATCCTCATCACACTTTAAATGAGGTTTGACATTTTCCCACATTAAAAAAAGGACTGTATATGTTAGTGCTCATGCACACAGGCTTTTGCTGTTTTCTCAGAACATGGCAAGTTTGGGGGTGTGTGTGGATATAATCACGCCTCTAAATATTCAGAAACAATTTCTGGGACAAATCTTCCCTAAAAGCTGCATTCACTATAGCAATTCAGATTTAAGATAAAATCTGATTTATTTTGTAGAATGATAGAGTAAAATCTAATAGGCCACCCTACATCAAATCTCACTGATTTCATTGAGCAAGATTTAAATGGGTGCAAAATTCTCCCACTGAAATCCATGACATTTAATGTTTAGTTATGGCTTGGTCATGCCGGTACTTTGCTTTCATTTTCTATAAAATTATCTCATACATTGTATGCTGTTGTATGTTATGCAACTTCTAGTGCTAGGTATATATGGAAGTGAGAAGAAACACTTTGTGTTCATGTTTCTGAACAGATTAAATGCATCAGGCGAGTCCTCATTGGCGAACTACACCCAAGGGAGTCCTTTGGAGAAATCAGCATTCTCCTTCAGGTCCCTTCAGCATATATGCTGAAGGCAGCAACCCCTGTTGAGCTGGGAATCATTGAAGCTGCAGACATACTTGGTACATTTTTCTTTTAATGTTCTCTTTTGGATAGAGGTTTGATCATAGGTAAGGAGAACCCAGAGAGGTTTGGAAGGATTCATGTCAGCTGGTTGTCCAGCCTTTTTCTAAACCAGCCTTCCAACCTCATGTCATCCAGATGTGTTAAGACAAATTCATCATCCCATAGCCAGATGGCTGAAGGGTGCAGGGAGGTGCAGCCCAACACATCTGGAGGGCACCAGATTGTGGAAGGTTGCTTTAAGGATTAACACCAATGCTACTTTTCCCTACAGGTCTGTTTACCCACCTTAGGATTGAACCAGCTAGAAATAAGAAGGTTTTCTTAGTTCCATTTTTTGTTATTGTTTCTTTGGCTCCCTGTGCCTTAAATCCTCCCCTCCTTCCCTCCCTCTTGTATTCAAAAACTAATTCCAGACTGGAGCACATGGAGTTTTCTTGCAGCTTTGAATTCATTTGCATTATTCCTTTGTTCTATATTACTGATGAATATGTGCATTGAGAAAAGTCTCCAAAGAACCCTACTTGACTCTGAGCAGGTTTGCACGTGACACTAAGTGAGCATGAGAATAAGCCACAGTGGTTGGGTTGTTTGCTGAACAAGCCATGGTACAGCTGACTGATGATTGGGCTTATGATGGCTTGTTCTCCCCTTCCTCCCCACTTATTGCTTCATCTGACTCTGCTGTGTATCCTCTTAGGTGCCGCTCTGGCAGCACCCGTCTTTTCTCTTTGTCCCATTCCCTTCCTTGTTCTAACCACTACCCTATCTTGTTCATCACCCTTTTTGCCTGTTGCTTTGGAAGAAGGAACATGTTTTTTGGAGATGATGATGGTGATGATGATGATGATGATGATTTGTTGGCTTTTGAAAGTGTGCAAGTTCACACTTCCAGCTGTCTGTTATGTGGAGCCTTTCCTGGAGCATCTCCTTGTATGTTTCAAGTATCAAGAATCATGTCAAAGTGGGTAATATACAAAGAAATACCCAAGACAGGGCTGCATACAGAGAAATTTGCACAGAGGCGTGAAGGACTGAGGGAAATATAGCACAATTATAAAAAGGGAGCTATTAGTGCATTTCAGAAGGACCAAGGTGGAACAACAAACCAAATAAGTGCATCAAAAGCTTGTTGGTGCTGGTGGTGAGGATTTCTCCTGCTTTGTCAAATTCCCTAGCTTTTAAGCACTGAATTGATACTTAGTATCCTCCACCTTTTAAACTCACCCCTGCGTCTGCAGCTATTCCCAAAGGGGAAATAGTCGTTCCCCTACAGCTTTTGAAGCTCACTCATAGAGCAGTCACTGATGAGATTCCTTCAGCTCCCATTTTTCTTCATCCCTTCTCAGCTTCAAGGTGATCCCCTCCCCGCACTTCTTCGAGGAATCATGACGAGAGGACAACAGAGTGTATCTGTAATACATTCACTTAAAAAATCCACTCCTTTGCAATTGCAGGGGAGCAAATGGCAGCTACTATAAGAGAAGACAGGATGAAATTGACAAGGACTTTGAAGTCTGCTGGAAAGAACTTGAAAAAAAGTGTTACAAATGTTTTACAAGGACACTGACATTTTGTTTCAAGCACTTTTGAGCAGGGACTTGTCCATTTTACTTCTCCGCAAGTGCGAGGAGCAAATGATAGCTGCTATAAGTGAAGGAACTGACAAAAACTTTGAAGCCTGCACTGGGAAGTGTTGAAAAGGTGGAGGCCTCTGGGATCTTACTGTTGCTTCTCCCCCAGTCTTTTCCAACTGTGTGCAAATTGGACTATATGCAGTTTCCTCTCCTTCATTTATTTGTGTCCTGCCTTCTACACCTTGGAGCTTCTGTGCACACCTGCAACTTACAAGGAAGTTGACCAGGAAAGACTCCACATACCAAACAACTGGAGGTGTGCATTTGTGTACTTACAAAGGTCCAAACAGCAAGAACAAATATGAGCCCATCTATGCAATTTTGAAGCACAGGAAAACAGACTAAAAATACTATCATCATCACTTAAATTTCTGTACTGCTTCACAGCTGAAGCTATCTGGATGGTTTACTCAATCTATAAAAACAAATGATAAAAATATAATAAAATGTCAAAAAAATTAGCTGTTTTCAACTTTTTAATTTTAAATTTTTTGACATTATATTTTTAGCTGTTTTCAACTTTTTAATTTTAAAGACAGCTAAAACAGAATATAAATGAAACAATACAAAGAATTGTATTGTAACAAGTGTTAATCCCCTTTAAGCCCTGGATGTTGAAAAAGCCTTGGGTTGAGAAAAGAGGGTTGTCTCAACCTGGCACTAAAAAGATGACAGATTTGGTGGCAGTGGGGCTACAGTGAGGGGGTTATTCCATAGATTGGGGGCCACTGCCAAAAAAGCTGTACCCGTAGTGGCCACCATCTGCACTTTCCTAAGAATTATCACTTAGAGGAAGTCCCCAGAGGTTCAGTATAGTGTCTGAGTAGATTGCATTTGGAAGAGGCTCTCCAACAGGTATTGTGGTCCTCAGCTGTGCAGAGCTTTATAAGTTAAACTAGCACTGTGAATTGGGACTGGAAGCATACAGGCAGCCAATGAAAATGGACTAGAACCAGTTTTATGTGTTCAGGCTTGTGGGTTCCAGTCTGGCTGCCACATTAATCTGGCTGCTGCATTCTCTACCAGCTGCAGCTTCTGAAACATCTTCAATGGCAGCCCCACATAAAGTGCATTGCAGTGATCTAATTCGGAGATTATACAGTCCCCACTCTACAGAGTCTAGGTTCAGATGAGAATGTGTGGCTATTGCGGGTTAGTGGTCTGTTTTAATGCTAGAAAAAAGTTGCTTAACCCTTGCACAACTCACACTTACCAGATTCACGTAGCATGAAACTTCCACGTAAGGGTTGCATATTCCAGTTGGTGGCCACACATGCCCTGCGCATGCTGCAGCCCCACTACGGGTTTCAGTAACCCATGGGGCATTTTCATGCCACGGTGACAATTGCAAAGACTCAGATGTTCTTGCTGAATAGGGTGAGGTGTGGTGTGTGAGCATGTGCATTTGCATGTGCTGATTAGGAATAGAATCAGGGAGAGGGAACTTCTGTGCATAATCTTTCCTCTTACAGAAGGCCTTTTCTTCCTGTGAAGGCAAATCTTGGATCCAACTAAATGAGGCCATGTAAATATTTTGAAATAAAAGCTCACAGGAAGCTAAAATGTACAATAATGCAGTCACTGTATGTGTGTGTGTGCACACATATGTTGGAATTGTATAAAATATCGACTTTCATTTTCTTCAGTTAGTGTGCCAAACCACTCCTCACACTCTTCCCAAAAAAGGAAAAGAAAAAAAAGATAGTAATTAACTATATTAGATCACTGACTGATCTAGCTTAGCATTGGAGAAGAACTATAGCTTGATAGCAGAATATATGCTTTTTCATACAGAAGTTTCAATTTCCAGCATCTGCAGGTAGGACTGAGAAAGTCTACTATCCAATGTTTTGCAGAGCTGCTGTGAATGCAGAGCTAGATGGTCCAATCACCTGATCTGATATAAGGAACACCCTGCTTTCTATTTTGCAGTGATTCTCTAAGGACTCAGACACAGCTCTTCCTCACACCTGCTGCTCAAAAACCTTCTAAATGGAGATGTTAGGAATTGAGAATATATACATGTTACGTATGTTTTAGCACTGAGACATGGTGGAATAGATGTCTTTTGGGTTGCATGCATTGCAATTAGGGAGCTGGATTTGTTCTCTGATGCATAGTCAAATGAGATATACCTATGCACCTACTGCATCATGTGTCTGTATGAGAAAAAATGCAACAGGTGAGGCAGCCTGTATTAGGACCAAAACACTCTTAGGAAATATAGCTCTGGTAGTGATGTCGTTCAGGTAGTTATTCCATAAAGTTCTTAACTGGATTTGCCTTGGGCCTTTCTATAACATTTGAGTTGTTAAACTTTGGCGCCCTGGCTAAAATTCAGTGCAGATGATTATGTTCTTCCTCTCCCAATTCCATTTGCAGATTGAATTGGAAGCAGTTTTCCTAAGTTATTTTCTTAAACTACTGCTGTAAACAGCTCTAGTCCCTAGGCTGCTGTGTAGGTAAAGTTGTGTCAATAAATTCGTGACTTCTCCCAAGAGCCAAGTCGAAGGCTACTTTCTGTACCACAGAGGAATATGTGAAAATCTCTGCTCAAAGTAAAACAAATCAAAGAAAGCAAACTCTTGTTAGAATGTAAATACCCATTGTTATTTGGTGCACATGTGGGTTTTTAAAAGGAAACACTGAACCTTTTATTTCCAAATCCTGTAAGTTTGAACAACAACAAAATACTATCTATATTTTGCAGAAGCAGAAATGCCCCCAAGAGATGCTTAGCTCTCAGTATTTACTGAAGAAATGTCAAATAAAAAGGATGTTTTAAGGATTGTTATTTAAACATTGTCAAGGTTGAATTGAGTTTGCTTAAGATTTGTGAAAAGCGTTGGGTATCCACTTACTTTTACCTGAAGCAAGTGCCCCCTTTTGATTTTTCATTTCTTTCCATTGAAGTCTAATGGCATGATGTGCTCTAATATAACTTAAAAGAAAAGGCAGAGTAAAGAGAGAGTAAAGGTTATGAGCCATCAGTTCTTGCACTGAATAATAATAATAAAAAAGAAATATCTTCTGATTTTCTCTCACCATTGTAGGATCAGAAAAATGCCACACATTTCAAAAGGATAAAAGGTGCTTTGCAGCTTTGACAGGATCTTCCCTTTTTCCTTCAGAAAATGAAATACAAAACCATGGATATTACTGGCTGTAATATCCCTGTTCCTTTTTAATAGTTGGGTGGAATTCCAACAGATTTTCCTATCCCTGTGGTGCTGTAATTAGAAATGGACACAGTTGAGTATTTCCAGTTCAGGGGAAGAGAGGCTGTTGCCTCCTATTTCTGTGGAGCTTCTCATCCATTGCATTATCTTTTGAGCATTATATGATATGTCCATCCCCACAAT